CCCCCCCCCCCGGCTGGTGAGGGGGGCCGCCGGAGGCGCTTTTGTACGCGATTTGGCTTCGCTAGAGCATAAACAATACGTGATCTTGGCCCATCTAACAGAGGCACTATCGCGGGGAAAACAATAGAAATTTCGAGTTCAACTACTGAATTTGTTGGTTTTCGACATGATGGAATATTTAGCTAGAAATACTGAAATGTTACTCCCACGCAACCAAGTGACATCCATCAGTTGGGTTGATGAGCGACGCTCTCGTATACTGGACTCTACAGCCCCTCTCTCGCAGAAACACGAAGGACTCTACGAAGGACACAACGACACGGCAGCCCTGAACGTATACCAAGAAACCAGCTAAGAGCTAAAACGCAACAAAGGACACGACTAGTCTATCTACTAGTCTACCTAGAAACGACAGGATAAGTTGCGCAACAAATGAACCACCAGCTTGATGGAATGCTCAAGTAGGAGATAAGAACAGCGCCAAAGCTACACAGCCGAAACCTACACCGCGCACAAATCACTGCCGCCAGCACCAGCACAACGAGCAGAGACGTAGGAAGGCGATTCTTTGCGCCACCAGCACTCTTCAGCGGAGAACCAAACTAAGATCCTCCCCACCAAAGACAGCCACCATCAAAGACAGCCACTACCCTAGCCCCTCTTCGCGGCCGCGGGGGTGTTCCATTGTTCCGATAGATGGGTTTCCGCTGGTTCTTGGAGCCTGTTATTGAGGAAATCTGCATATGCTTGAATGTACTGGAGTACGGGCTGCTGACGCAGCCAGTGCACATGCACTGCCAGTGCATGTGCACCGGTAGTACGTACTGGTTCAGTACCCAACCCTACGAATTACGATTCGGCAAACAAAAAGCTGGGGCCGAGAGGTTGCTGAAAGCATTCGGTAACGTAGCGTAGTCTTTGGTCTTCGGTACCGTATATCTCATGCGTTTCTCAGGGCAGACCCTTGGCCATTGGCCACACGACTGTCCAAAACTCAGGGTTGGAATACCGTGCTTGACAGTGGGGCAGGATGGGCGGGTGCTTGGGGAGAAGTCGGACCGCCGCTGCGGTGGAGGGAGGACCGAAGAAGTTGTACACTCTAAGATGTAATATAAACGGCGTTACGATGGCAGGGGCGTTTTGGTCAGCCAATCTACCATGGCTTCCCTACCAATGGCTGTTGCTTCATAGTGTGGAATCTCCGCGGCACTCCATACACGATGCGCACATCCTGCAAGAGTCTACAATAGCATGCACACAGAAGGCACAAACAACGGTGCGACACATTAGCCTATGCTACATCACTAGATCGATCGTGGCGCCACGCTGCACGGCGGTTACACAGACAGACAGCCCCGTGCATACCTGGGTGACAGAGGTGGCGTCGAAGTCGATCCTTGCCTTACCAACCACCATCTGGGCTCGAATCTGCACTACCACGCTCTCTATGTCGTTCGTTGGCGTCCACCCCTGCACAAACAGCGAAGACGCGACAGAAAAAACAATCGCAACCACCACCAGCAACAACGACGATGACAATTCTAAGGAGGCGGGAGGAAAAAACACAACGGGTGGAGCGCACAAGCACGAACAGTGTGTGGCAGGCGGGCAACACCGCACATGAACGCATCGCACGGATCGTGTCATCATGATCGTTTCTCGACTCAAAATGACGGTCAGGTTTACCAGAAGTAGTGTATTACGAGGATACGACACAATTAGAGCAGCAGCAGGAGACGACAATACCAACCACGAATAAATATCACCCAACTCAAGGATGAACTATCACCAACACTAGAATGAATAATCACCCACACCGCGAGTCCAAAAACACCCACAAGAATGAATAATCACCCACAACAAGAATGAATAATTACCGACGCCAAGAGTGAAAAATCACCCACACCAAGAATGAAAAATCACCCACACAAGGAGTGGAAATCACTCACAGCAAGACTGAATGATCACCCGCAACACGAGTGAAAAGTCACCCACAAGCATGAATAATCACCTACACCAAGAATGAATGATCACCCACACCACGTGTGAAAAATCTCCCACAAGCATGAAGAATCACCCACACGATGAGTGAAAAATCACCCACACCAAGAATGAATGATCACCGGAACCAAGAATGAAAAATCACCCACACCAAGATAAAAACCACCCACACCAAGAATGAATAATCAACAAGAGTGAATAATCACTAACGCCAAGGATGAATAATCATCAGGACAAATAACGAACAATCATCGTCACCAAGAATCGACACCAAGAATAAAAAATCACCAACAACAATGAATGAACACCACCACCAAGAATAAAAAATCACCAACACCAAGAATGAATAATCACCCACACCAAGAATGAATAATCACCCACACCAAGAAGGAATTATCACCAACACCAAGGATGAACAATCACCAACACAAGAATGAATAAAAACCAACAGTACAAGCACATCACATCAACACCCACAGCAACACTAGCATCAATACCGTCACGAATGCTAACACCATCACCGAACTGTGCAGGGTTCTCAATCGGCATC